TTTATTTATTTATTTGAAAGGCAGAGATAGAGAAAAGGAGAGAGAGATGGGGGGGGGGGGGATGAGAGAATATTCCATCCTCTGGTTTATTCTCCAAATAGCTAGGGGGCCTGGCTCAGCCCGTCATGAAGCCAAGAGCCAGGAGTTTCCTCAGCATCTCCCATGTAGGTGCAGGGGCCTAAGAACTTGGGCCATCTTCCACTGCTTTTCCCAGGGGCATTAGCAGGAAGCTGGATCAGAAATGGAGCAGCCGGGACTTAACCTGGGCACCCATATGGGATGCTGGCACTGCAGGTGGAGGCTTAACCTTCTATGCCACAGTGCCGGGCCCAGCATTAATGTTAAAGTTAGAAACAAAAGCAGGGTGGCCATGATGACCCTCTACTTTTTTGCATTCTCTGGAGTTACTAAAGCAATTAGAAAAGAAATTATATGTACGGAAATGGAAAAAAGATGGAAGTAAGCCTGTTACTTAAAAATCAGATGATCATGTGCCTGGAAACAAAACAACGACTGAACCTGAAAACTTACTACAAGAGAATTCAGGGTTAGTGGAGTGTGAAATTAAGGCAGTCTTCATAATTAACAGCTATTTGGAAGATCTAATGAAACTCCTGTCACGATAAACTCAAAAAAAGAAAATCTTAAAATACATTTTACAAGAAATGATGTCCAACCTACATGAAGACAATTGGAAAACACTCTTTTTTACAGAAAAGCAAACTTGAATGAATGGGAAGCATGCTATGTGCTTTGCTAGAACACTCAGCGTAAAGGGCCTGTGAGAGCATGGCACGCATGGAGAGCCAAGACTCTGTGGCAAAAAATAGCCTACATGAAGGATCTCTGTGAGTGAGACCCCAGCACAAAGAAGGGGCCATGAAAGGAGAATGTACTTTTCTCTGAAGGGAGGAGAGAACTTCCACTTTGCTTATGGCCTTGTCCAAATACTGATGATGTTTGTGTTCACAGAAGTCTTCCATAGCCTTGGCAACTCATGGCAAGAACCTCGGGTGATCACTGACATCATAAATAAGAGTGTTAACTGTTAAATCAACAACAGAAATCACTGTGCACTTACTCCCCATGTGGACCTCTGTCTTTAATGAGTTGTACTATGAGAATAAACTGTAATACTTGTTCTCAAACTGTACTTTTTAAGTTGTATGTGTGTGTGTGCAAACTGTTGAAATCTGTACTTAGTATAGAGTTGGTCTTCTGTATATAAAGTTAACTAAAAATGAACCATAATGAAGAACGGGATGGGAGGGTGGGGATGGAGGAAAGAACCACTATATTCCTAAAGTTGTACCTATAAAATTTGCATTCATTAAAAGCTTTAAAAATCATAAAAAAATTTAAAAAAACACTCAGCACTATGACAGTGTTGATTCTAAAGTTAATTTATAATTTTAACATGATTTCAATAAAAATTAAAATAGGATTTATTGGTTGATTTACAGGATCCAAGCAGGCTGGATTCAAATTATTTGCAAAAATAGACAAGCAGTTGTTAATAAGATAATGGAAGCATGAAAACAATGGAAAGGATTAGCCCTACTAGGTATTAAAATACTATGAAGACTCAACAATTAAATAATAATTAAGACATATCCTGCATTAGAATAAACTCTGAGGGGATCAAGCATTTAAGTATAAATAGCAAAAGCCACACAAGTGCTAGACAAAAGATAAGAATAATTCTTCCAAGTCTTTGTGTAGGGAAACTTTCTGTGACTTAAAATTGCAGAAGCCATAGCACACAAAACGCATAAATTCACCTACAAACGGAGAACATGTGCATGTCAAAGCCCAAAAGACAGTGACAAACTGGGAAAATGTATTTGTAGCTCATGTCATAAAGAAAGAGTTCATCTCCCAAAGATATAAAGATCTCCTAGAAATTGACAAGAAAAGGAAAAATAGCCTAATAGAAAAATGGTCAGACCACTGACCAAGAAATACAAACACTCTTAACCCTGTGAAGACACTCAAACTCATTCATAAGAATGTAGGTGAATTAAGACACAAAGCTTTTTTTTTTTTTTAAAGCCCTGTAAGAATGGCCATTGATGAGGCAACTGGTGTATAGGAGATTTGACATATTGCTAGTGGGTGTTGAATATGCTAGAGGCTCTGTGGAAAGGAATTGGGCAATACCTTTCCAAATAACAACCACTTGTGTCTTTTGACCCAGCAATTCCACCTCTGGGTGTTTAACCTACAGATATACCCACACCTGTCTTCATACAAAATGAAAGAAATGCAAGGCTGTTGATTGCAGCATCATTTAAAAGACATGGAACATTAAAAACCCAAATATCCATCTATGAAGGACTAGTTAAATGTGCTATAACATATAGAAAAATAGTACTCAGTTGTAAAAAAATTACTATTAAAAATAATGATTAGGAAAGTTCTCCAGGATGTATAGAAATATACACCATGTGCTTTTATGTAACATATGGAGAAATGAGAATACATTTGCTTGTGTCTGCAACAGGAGGTATATTGAAAAGATTCACAGCAGACCAATAAATATGGTCACATGGGAGGGGCCCTAAAATGTCATTAACGGTTATGGAGTGGGAGTGAAAATCCTCAAAGTGTATTTCATATATAGTTTCAATTTTTGAGCCAGTATACGTACACTTACCTTAAAAAATTATGGAGTCGGAGGGATTTATATCCCACTGTCAGTACTGTCATTTTTGAAGTTAGATGCAAAATCAAGTACTGAATTTTACCGAAAAGGCAAGAAATTTTCAGCATCGGGAAATGTATTAGCATAGCATTGTAGAAAGTCAAAAGGAAGTACACAAGCAAAAGAACCTCAAACAGCCAATCTGATGATCTTAGGCATTTGATATGTAAAATTAAATATTCAGTCCTAATACAACTAAGTTGGAAACATTGGGTATCTTCCTTAAAATGATTAGAGGGGCTGACGCCATGGCTCACTTGGTTAATCCTCTGCCTGCGGTGCCGGCATCCCATATGGGCGCCGGTTCAAGTCCCAGCTGCTCCATTTCCAGTCCAGCTCTCTGCTGTGGCCTGGAAAGGCAGGGGAAGATGGCCCAAGTCCTTGGGCCCCTGCACCCACATGGGAGAACTGGAAGAAGCTCCTGGCTCCTGGCTTCGGATTGGCGCAGCTCCAGCCGTTGCGGCCATCTGGGGAGTGAACCAGCCAATGGAAGACCTCTCTCTCTACCTCTCTCTGTAACTCTCTTTCAAATAAATAAAATAAATCTTTTAAAAAATGATTATAAATGTATAAAACCAATATCCACAGGGAACAACAAAAAGATTCCCAATATAACCAGGGATCAGCCAAGCTGCCTTTATTGACGAAGTTTATTTAATGGTGTTTGATATGTTTTGGTCAAGGTCTTAAAAAAAAGATAGCCGGCACCACGGCTCACTAGGCTAATCCTCCACCTTGCGGCACCGGCACACCAGGTTCTAGTCCCGGTTGGGGTGCTGGATTCTGTCCCGGTTGCCCCTCTTCCAGGCCAGCTCTCTGCTGTGGCCCGGGAGTGCAGCGGAGGATGGCCCGGGTGTTTGGGCCCTGCACCCCATCGGAGACCAGGAGAAGCACCTGGCTCCTGCCATCGGATCAGCACGGTGCGCCAGCCACAGTGCGCCGGCTGCGGTGGCCATTGGAGGGTGAACCAACAGCAAAGGAAGCCCTTTCTCTCTGTCTCTCTCTCTCACTGTCCACTCTGCCTGTCAAAAAAAAAAAAAAAAAAACTCATATGATTTATTGGGTAAGTAGGAGGGTGGATAAGGGGTGCCAGGCAGGGCTGGATATGTTGTGTGCACCTGTTACGTGTGCTCTGGATTCTCTCACAACAACAAATCATCAAACATCAAACTTCCATCTCTCCCCATTTCCTGGAGGGTTTTTCTACTTCATTCTGCCCAAATGACTTCAGAGGAGATGTGCCTGTTTTACAAAATTACTTGACCAACCAGGGTACGGTAAACTTTGGACTGGACCCCATTGCCGTTGAATCACTGTTGAATCCAGGGAAGATCAGGAGAGAGAGACTTTTCTGGCAGGCAAGATCACGTGCAGATGGAGGACAGGCAGTACCCAGGTGTGGATGGGGACCTACCTCCAGGAGCTCAGGGTCAGTGGGCGTAACAGGTGAATCAGGAAGCACAGGCAGTAAGCAGGCACCGGGGCGGACATGGTCTTTAAATCCACACCAAGGAACTAATATGTAATTTTCTAAGAGACGTTACCCCTTGCAGGGTTTTACGCAGGCATGTGACATAATCCACTCCTGTCTACGTTGGACCTTTGATAATATCAGCTTCCATGGGAAATTCCTTTGCTTATATTGTTGGTCCACAGTCATTGAAGGGAATCCAGAAAGTAAAGAAATAACAGCAATGGTGGCATCGAGCAATGTGTGCTTACGATGGGAGAGGCTGTGTTGGACCACAGGAGGCACTCAACATATATATATATAAATATATATATATAAATATATATATTTTATTTGACGGGTAGAGTTATAGACAGAGAGAGAGAGAGAGAGAGAAAGGTCTTCCTTCCATAGGTTCACTTCCCAAATCACCACCACTGCCAGCGCTACACCAACCTGAAGCCAGGAGCCAGGTGCTTCTTCCTGGTCTCCCACATGGGTGCAGGGGCCCAAGTACTTGGGCCATCCTCCACTGCCCTCCCAGGCCACAGCAGAGAGCTGGACTGGAAGAGGAGCAGCCGGGACTAGAACCCGGCACCCATATGGGATGCCGGCACCAGCGCCGCAGGCGGAGGATTAACCAAGTGAGCCATGGCACCAGTCCATGACAGATATTGTTGATTCAACTGACTACCCAAGGTGAATATCAATGAGTTGTCACATTTAAATCTTCTGGAGGAAACCAAATTAATTAAATGAAAAAATCACCCCTGCCTGGGCATTTTAATAAGCCGTACCGAGCGTACTTCTGGCAGTAACGTAAGAGCCCCATCTCTCTTCTCCTACCTTCACGTCCAGGTTCTTGGAAAGAGTTTCTAGGGCAGACACGAGGTCTTGAATCGCTTTCTCTGTTTGCCGGAACTCGTTCCTGATGAAGTGAATGTCACCGGAGAGCTTCATGATGCTTGAATCGCATCTGGTGGCAAGACAGAAATTGGTGTGAAGTCAACAAACTCGAAATATTTTTAATATCAGAGTAAGACATATCATTTAGGGGCAAAGATGCCAACATTCTTTGAATAATGATCCAGGAGATGTAGGAGCATAGACAGGAATCACGTTCAATTTTCTCTTGTCTTCCTGATGGGAGAGAAGCCAGGTTTCACACATAGACCCGAACAAGAGCACAAATTGGGGTAATTTATATGGGTACACTGGGGAGATTTGACACTTTTGGCTTTACATGAACTCAGCTGTAGGAGTTACAACAGATTTTGGTGTTTGGGGAATACGCGTTTCTCTTCTATCTATAAATTTTGTGTTCTGAAGAATTTGTTTTCTTCATGGGTACCTGTTAGGTCTGTGTTGGATGAGTTTTTGTTGCCTGTCATATATTTAATTTCTCTATAACCATTTTTTATATTAAAAAGCATTTTGCTCCTGCTTTTTACTTTGAAAATTTATTTTGTTGGAGGCTTCTGAAGCAGATTTAATCTCTAAGATAATTTAACTTTGACTGTATCCCTGAGCCATTCCAGTTTTGTCTTCTTTTGTTATTTGATAATGTCTTTGGGGTAGAAACTGTTCATTTTAGTCCATTTTCTGCTTCTCTTACCAAATGAAGCTGGGCCCTTTATCCCTACTCCCTCTCAACAACCGAAACTCCCTAGCCCTAGACTAATGGAAGACAGATAGGTCCCTCCTGATGGAAGATAGTTATAAATGGCCCCACCATCCCACGCAATCTCCATCTTGGGGACCAAGTCCAAATCCCAGCACTCTTCCATGCCTTATTTTTAAAAGTAATCTCTATCTTATCCCAGGAAAATGTGCCTATCATTTAAAAGGCGAAAAGCAAACTACAACGTTCCTGGCCCTACCTCTCCCTCCTCTCAGCTCCTCTCCCTTGGGGCACACACTTGAAGCCTCTTGAGAATTCTGTGGTGTAAGGTCGGCTCGTTCGCAGCCAATCCCCCATCTCTAAGGTTGACTTCAGTAAGTCCCCGCCCCAAGGCAGTTTTCTCTGGCCCATCGCTTTCTAGGTTCTAGCTCTTCGGTTCTGATGTTGCCTATCTTTGTGGGTTATGTTGTGAAGTGAACATCTGGTCACCGTAGATTTAGTGGGCTCATGGAAGGGGCCAAATTACACGCGACTGTTCACGTAGCAAACTTCTTTTATCTCTGTCTTTTGCTTTTAATTTTTTTGAAATTGGGAAAACCTTTGTTTTGAACTCTTCTTGTACTTTTGCAGGAACTCCATTGCATGAAGCATACTCATCAATCTTTCGCTGACATTTTTGTCCATCAGCTGTCCATTATCTATCTGCATATCTGTCATATCTGTCTCCCATCTTCTATCTACCTATCATCATCTTCTATCGTCAGTAGCATTATCATTGTCTAGCATCTTTATCTATCATCTTCTGTCTAATCTACGTATGGTAATGGAGATGATTTTTATTCATGGCTTGATTCTACCTATCAATATGGCATCTCTGAATGTCCTTATGTTGAAGGTCTGAGAAGGACATCAGTTTAATGTCACTGGCTATGTGCTCTGTTGGTGGTTAGTGATTGCAAAGTTTTGGGTATGGTTTAAGTGCATCCTGCAAAGTTTCGTGTGCTAGAAGTGTGGCAATGGCAAGAGATGGTGGAACCTTTAAGAGGTAGAGCCCCGTAGGAGGTGATTAAGGACATTAACCTCAGAAGAGATTAATGTAGTTTTCACGGGACTCAAGGCCACCCCCTGTGCTGAGCTTCTGTCTGGCCCCTACTGCGCACAGTCATTCTGCGTCCCACTTCTGTGCCATGCTGTGATGCAGGTGGGGGTCCTCACCAGAGCCTGAGCAGATTGAGGTGCCCCATCTTGGATTTTCAGCCTCCAAAAATGTGAGCTAAAAATGCTTTTTCTTCTTTATAAATTACCCAGCAACAGGTATTCCATTATGGCATCAAGAAACGGATCAGGGCTGGCGCCGAGGCTCACTAAGCTAATCATCTGCCTGTGGCGCCGGCATCCCGGGTTCTAGTCCCGGTTGGGGCGCCAGATTCTGTCCCAGTTGTTCCTCTTCCAGTCCAGCTCTCTGCTGTGGCCTGGGAAGGCAGTGGAGGATGGCCCAAGTGCTTGGGCCCTGCACCTGCATGGGAGACCAGGAGAAGCACCTGGCTCCTGGCTTCAGATCGGCACGGCGCTGGCCGTAGCGGCCATTTAGGGGGTGAAGCAATGGAAGGAAGACCTTTCTCTTTGTCTCTCTCTCTAACTCTGCCTGTCAAAAAAAAAAAAAAGAAAAAAAAGAAAAAGAAATGGATCAGGATGGGCATTGTGACAACTTTCATCTTACATTAAAGATAGACATTTTGCTTTCTGTTTTTCCACTGGCTTGAGGTGTTGAACGCAGGAGTGGAGGAAAATATCTGTATTCTAGAAGACCCTCTTCACATTTTAAGAGTTGATAAGGTCCACACTATCATGATATCTCTTTAATGGACTTGATTTTTGCTTTTAATCGCACATCAACACAATGTGTCATTTTTTTTATAAGATTTATTTATTTATCTGAAAGTCAGAGTTACACAGAGGAGAGGCAGAGAGAGTGAGGTCTTCCATCCGATGGTTCACTCCCCAATTGACCGCAACGGCTGGAGCAACGCTGATCCAAAGCCAGGAGCCAGGAGCTTCTTCTGGGTCTCCCACATGGGCGCAGAGGCCCAAGCACTTGGGCCATCCTCCACTGCCTTCCCAGGCCACAGCAGAAAGCCGGACTGGAAGTGGAGCAGCCGGGACTAGAACCGGCGCCCATATGGGATGCTGGAACTTCAGGCCATGCAGTTAACCCGCTGCGCCACAGTGCTGGCCCCAATGTGTCATTTCTGTTCTTAAATGCAGGTTTCCCCTGGAGTCCCGCAGCACCAAATGTGCCGAATGGGTTGCTTGCTTCTGGCTGCTGCTGTAGATGAATCGGGTCCATCTCTCTGGTGCCCTTTGCACACTCCCCCTTTCTCCTTCTGCACTTGAGACAAATCTATCACAGGAGAGGCTGGGCGCCTTGGAGAGCCTCATCTCACTGGAAGAGCTTGCTTTAAATTGCCACTGTGTTGGGGGTAGGAAGTAAAAGTGAAAAGTCCAGGGTACAATGGAGTTGTTAAATATTGAGCCTGACTCAGGAAGCGGTAAAATATTTGCTAGGGATTGTATTAAAATAATCAACTTAATTCGGCTTGTGCCAAATTGACTATTAGAATTAAGGTCACTCTATGAGGGAGGCCAGTGATCCATCTGCCTTAGCCTGTCCATTAGTCATTCGTCTGGCAACAACACGGAAAAGAAACCAGAGAGGGAGGGAGAATTTTAAGCCTCGTGGCTTTCTGCCAGATTCTGTCTCGGATTACCAAATAGATTTCAGAAATTTTCCATAAAGAGGGACATTTCAAGGAAAAAGAATACCTTGTTCTGAAGTCACTGCTTAAGATTGAAGAGGGAGGAAGGAGAGAGATGGGAGCAGAGCCGGAATTGCTCATCTTCTTGATGAGATTCCAGCGATCTCTGGTGGCGTTAGAACAAATCCATTTGTTCTTTTGTATAGAAAATGGGGTTTACAAGAGTAAAATGCTATGCTTCAAAGTGGTTTGCAGAGAAAAGTAGATGGCAGGGGTATCTTCAGTATGCCACCGAGATGAACTAATCAAGTTTTATTGAAAGCAGATATTTGGTGTTTCTCTTTGTAAAAAGTGGCATATATCTAAGTTGTTTAAGGAGGGAGGTGGACTTGCTAGTGTTTATTTTTTATGTATTACTTCATAATTTACACAAATATTGTGTATTATGAAATGTAGAATAAAACATATTACATATTTCATGTATTTACATATATGAATAACTATTTAGATTTTCTCCTCTGGATTGTCATTTTTCTTCTATGAGAGTTTTCCATCCATGAGTATTATTTCCTAGATAGGATCTTTATTTAAGATTATTTATTTATTTATTTGACATAAGAAGGAGATGGGAGGAAGGGGTGGGGGGAGGAGAGAGACAGAGACAGAGAGAGAGAAAGGGAAAGGGAGAAAGAAAGAGGTTCCATTCACTTTTCCACTTCACAAATGCCCACACCAGCTGGGACTGGGCCAGGCTGAAGCCCGGAGCCAGGGACTCCATAGGGTCTCCCACGTAGGTGACAGGAGCTCAAGCACTTGGGCCGTCTGCTGCCTCTGGGGTGAGTTAAAGGAAGCTGGGCAGGAAGGTAAGGCAGGACTTCATCCTGGGTACCTGACCTGAAACGTGGGCAGTCCAGTGGGCTTATCCAGCTGGCCATGGTGTCTGCCCTAAGTACCTTTACTTTCAAGAGGAATACAGCCACCCCCCAGAAGTACAAAATCTCTCCCAGAACCACTGAATCATTGATGCTGTTGGCCAACCAGATACCTGGAAGGCTGGACGCTCGCCCCTCCTACAGACACAGAGACACTCCTTCCTGTGTGGAGAGTGCCCAGCCTGGGTAGGACCCCACAAGCGGCTCATTTACAACACGGTCCAAAGCAAACACGTTGCTCTTCTCTGCTTCCGGTTCTACTCCCTTGCCCAAACTGCTGCTTTCTGGTTTCTGTTGAAGGAGTCCTCAGCCAGCCCCTAAGCCAGAAGCTTTGCTGCCGGTCCTTGCCTGGGGGAGCCCATTTATTTAGGAACTCATTCTCTAAGTTCTGTTCTCTACGGCTGTGTTGTCTGTCCCCTGCTTGGGACTGCCATGCTAGTGCGTAGTCTGGGCCCTTGTCCTCTCTGGAATTGCTGCACTCACAGTTCTCCAGTCTCTGTACCCGACCACTTCAGCTGCTCCCAATGCCACCAGATAGGACAGATGGCCTCTTCCCCAGAATCTGCCCATGACCATGACCATGACCATGACCATGACCATGACCACAAGGTCAGACCCTTTACACTGGCCCACAGGGTCCCTCATCTTCCAACTTGGGACCTCTTCTCTAACTTCAGCTGCCATCTCTTCCTAAATGCCTACTCCCAGATCCCAGAACCTTACCACTGCTCTCATAGGCAGGCCCTTGGCCGTGTCATGTAATCCTTGGCCCCAGTTCTCCTCTGCATGTCCCCTGCTCCCATGTAAAGGGCCTACTACAAACTCTTCAGAACTACACCTGCTTGGAAAGACTCTGCTGTGCTGATTGGGCGATTCCCATAGCTCCCCGGGGCTCTCGGGATAACAGATGCCTCCTTGCTTCTGGCTGCAGCTCGTTTTGCCAGGGAGACTGTGAGCAGCCACAGAAAGGGGGCCAGGTTACTGAATCCTAGCACATGCCTGGGCGTGGGCATGTGATAAGGGCTTCCTGCACTGTTGCTGAATTCAATGGGCAAATAAATACCCTAGGAGAGTGCCAATGTGATTGTCTTTCGTCAATGGGGTGAAGGCTGGTCTAGAGGGCTTGTGCAGGAGTTGGGTAGTCCGCCCTTGCAGCAAGTTCATTTGCTTCCCTGTCATGTGAGGACCCAGTGTTTGTCCCCTCTGGAGGGTGAGGTCCTCCCTAGAAGTGGGACCTGCTGGCACCTTGACCTTGCACTTTCCAGGCTCCAGAACCAGGAGAAAACAAATGTCTGTTCCTAGCAGTGTTCTAGTCTCACGTGTTTGGTTATAGTGCACAAATGGACTTAGATGGAGGGGCTTGACTTGAGTGTTAATCTCATTTGGTTTGTAAGACTTCAGAGAAGAGTAACAAGATTGGAGGTGGGGGTATTCCAGGAGAGAAAGGGGTTCTGGCCAAAGATGTAGAGGTGGGAGATGTCTGCTCCCTCAAGTCGCCTCCTATGCACCTGCCAGAGTGGTCCAGCTACAGTCAATACCTACAGACTTTTTCTGAACCGTTAACTCTTTTGATTCAGGAAAACTCACCCAAAACATGTTCTTCAATACTTTATCCATGCGGTCGGTGGTAAATCCCTTTTGGTGGACTCTGACATGGAGCTTTTGTGTATTGTGTGGTCCTTATTAGAATCTGACATGACTGGGGACTTGTCTGTGGTGATGAGGGTGTGTCTCTGTAAGGATGTTGACTTTGGAGCAGGGAAGGGTTGTACAGAAAGGACTCTGGTCACTTCTCTGGGATCCTACTGGACATTGCATTGGCCTATAAATGGGCTCTTTTATGGAAACCTGGGGACTCAGAGGTGGCATGTAGCTCTGAAAGTTCTATGAGATGCTTCCTCAACTCTCCTCTCTACAGTTTAGCTCAACAGAAAGACAATTCATTGCTTCTACAATTTGAGGGTATCTCAGAACCCATGTACAGTATTTTCATAATATGCATTTTCCATGTACTTTTTGAAGACTCCCAGTAGAGAACTTAATTAGGAATGAGAATTCAGTGGCTGAGAACTGACTGCTCAGTGCTCATCGATGTTGCTTCTTCTCACCTGGCTACTCTTCCTCGAAGATCTCCAACTCCTTGTATGTGTTTCACACTTAGATCGTGTACTGCAAAACTGGCTCCTGTGGTCGCCTGATCTCGAATGCGTATTTGGTCTTCTAAAACCTGTAATGTTGAGTGAAAATCCCATTAATTTCCCATTGCATATGACAGGAGAGCGTCAGCTGAAGCAGAAGTCACAGAACTGATTGCGTGTCCTCGCTGGGCTGATGGTGGAAATGAGTAAGGGGGCCGACTCCAGGGGAAGAGACCTGCGCTGGGTCTGAAAGAGGCAGCAGGTGGGGGCAGTAATGGGCACTCGAAATGCAGATCTCCTGGGAAATCTCCCAACCTAAAAATATGGCTCCCTAATTCGGAGTTTCCACTAAATACTACGTGGGCCAAGAAGAATGTGGTGATAGTGCTGAGTGGTCATGGGCTGCCATTTGGTTACCACTGTGGAACAGTTTCTCATACAAAGCCTGCTGCCTCACTGACAGTAGTCAGTGTAGAAAAAGGGATTTTTCAGTATGGCATCAGGCAGGGTCCTCGGTGGATCGATTCAGAATCACCATGAAGCTAATATCAAGAAAAGCGAGCACGAATCAAACTGTTCCATACAGATGGCATGAAATCTGTATCTGAAATCTAAATCATTTGGGATTGCTTAGGAACATGAGAGACTGAGGGCTCCCGTGGGTTCAGGTTTTGTTTTGAGTATTGTTGCTTATGTTTTCAGGACCTTTTGGTGTTTTAGAAGAGTGGTTTTTAAATTTTAAAGGTATCAACTGAAAAAGTGAAAAATGGTATTTATGGTATAAAAACTGAAAACATTCTGCCTATTGAAAACATTATAGTTCATTTATATGCAAACAAATTCCAATGTAATATGATGACTTATAAAATGTGCATTTATTGAGAAAAGTGAGACCATGGAACTTTGGAAAGAAACAAAGTCGTGATGTGGGGAGACATTAAAGTGTGGTTATACTTGACAAAGGGCCTAAAGAATGTTTAAGTTACTTCTTCAAGTTTTCCAAAGAAGGATTTTGTAGGATATGAGTTTTAGGAATTTCAGAGACCCTGTGCAGATCTTGCCCGTGTGTACACTGGCAGGTTGAGAAAATCAAGAGCAAATAAATCCTGATTGAAGAAAATGGCTGCAGTGCCTTTTTGTCAAAGCAGGTGTGTAGGTGCTTTGTTCTCCTTTTGGCTAAAGCATGGTGATGACAGGGAACTTATTCTACTAGGTCCTAAAACATTTCGTAATAGGAAAGCCAGAGATTTGACACCTTCAGGAAAAAAAAAAAGGTGATATCCACATTCTAGCAAATTAGCCAAGGTTAAAACAAGATATCTCAATGCTGGCATAGGCACAGTGAATAAGGCACTCTCATAATGCTAATCAAAGAGTAAATTTGTAAAAACTTTTTTTTTTTAAAAAAGATTTATTTATTTATTTGAGTGGTAGACTTACAGAGAGAGGGAGAGACAAAGAGAAAGGTCTTCTATCTACGATTCAATCCCCAAATGGGTGCAACAGCTGGAGCTGGGCCAGTCCAAAGTCAGGAGCTTCTTCAGGGTCTCCCACATGGACACAGGGGCCCAGCACTTGGGCCATCATCCACTGCCTTCCCAGGCCACCAGCAGAGAGCTAGATTGGAAGAGGGGCAGCTGGGACACAAACTGGTGCCCATATGGGATGCTGGTGCTGCAGGCAGAGGCTTAGCCTACTGTATCACAGCATCGGCCCCTAAAAACTTTCTTAAAACCAACTTGGCAACATAAATTAAGAGTTTTCAGGGTTTAAAGCCTAGGAATTCTACTTCTAAGGATATGCACTGCAGGTACTGCAGCCACAACTCAAGCATGGACTTAGGTTTCTACACAGAGTGTTCAATAGTAAGAACTGTCAAGCAGATCATGGTATATGAAGCTTACAGAGTTTTTAATGATGCGAAAGACTTTATTTAAAATTATAAATTATGCTTACAAGCATAATCTCAGCCTAGACTATTTGCAAAGACTACAAGGAACTACATCCTTGTGTTTGGGGGTAGAATTATAAGAGATTGTTTTCCCAGGTTTTAAAATTTCAGCCTGAACTTTTGAAATAATTACAACAAACGACTAATGCTTTTATAAATTGAGGGAAGAAAACCTGCACAAGGCAGTGTTATACATAAATTTTTTTAGTTAAAAATTAATCTAATTTAAAAACAATTAGCTGCCTATTTAAAAAAAGAAATGACTTGATTTTAAAAGGGAAGGAGGGACTTAATTGCTATAATTATGGCAGATTAAAAACATTTTTAAAATTCATTTTAAGGACTTGGGTTGAGCTTCAGTTCACATTTGCATCTGTTTTGCTGACCAATTTGCAGGTGGATTGATCCAGTTAATGAATTTAGGTTCTCTTTAATTTTTGTTTTATTTGAGAGAGGGAAAGAGAGAAAGAAGGAGCCAGCCACTGGGTCACTCCCCACCATGTTCTCAACAGCTGGGGCTGGGTGAGCCAGGAGTGGGGGATGCAGCCCAGGTCTCCCACATGAGTGGCAGGTCCCCAACTGCTTGAGCCCCTACCTGCTTCCTCCCAGGGTGTGCCAGCCGCGAGCTAAACGTTACCACGTGCTTCAATACGGAAACAGGTGTCTCCAGCTGTAACTCCACTGCTATACCAAACACCTACCCAGTCCATTTCTCTAGCAAGTGCTTATCACTTTAGAGTCCTAGGTATTTACTGAATGTGGCCTGATGATTTCTCCTTCCTATTGTTTCAACTACAGGATCTATGCTTTTAAAATTCTTTTTTCTTTCTCTTTTATGACAGGCAGAGTGGACAGTGAGAGAGAGAGAGACAGAGAGAAGGTCTTCCTTTTGCCGTTGGTTCACCCTCCAATGGCCGCCGAGGCCGGCGCGCTGCGGCCGGCGACCGCGCTGATCCGATGGCAGGAGCCAGGAGCCCAGGTGCTTTTCCTGGTTCTTCCCATGGGGGTGCAGGGCCCAAGCACCTGGGCCATCCTCCACTGCACTCCCTGGCCACAGCAGAGGGCTGGCCTGGAAGAGGGGCAACCGGGACAGAATCCGGCGCCCCGACCGGGACTAGAACCCGGTGTGCCGGCGCCGCAAGGCGGAGGATTAGCCTAGTGAGCCGCGGCGCCGGCCCGCTTTTAAAATATTTTTAAATTCTGTTTCCCACACAACCGGAGCAGCTCTCCTCATTTTCCCTTCATATGCCAAAGCCTTCACAGGATTGCTAATATTCAGAGATTTTAGAGTTTTGGGAAAATGTTTTGATTTAGCCTTTTTTTTTCTCAGAGCTGATCTCAGATAATCAATTATTAAAGGAAAAATAAATCTCTTAGCTAGATTCTCACGATGGAGAGACTTTTTCCCCCTTAAGGCCGAGTGTGTTGGAGTGTCTGCTAAGGGGATAATTAAAATGTGTTGAAATGCACATGTCTGAGTGGGCATCTGGATGGGTCTTGACATATTGGGTCAAGTAGGCGTCACTATCCAGAGAAAGATCTAGGATATCTTCAGGGACTTTGGTATTTCTAAGAATGTCATTCTCTTCTCAATTACTAAGGTGTTTGGACCCATAAATTGGAATCTGTAAGGAAAACTTGTTTATCTTGATTTATCCCAAGAATTTTTTTGACGGAAACTATTTTTCCTTTCATACTTTAAAACTATTTATTAATTTACTTATCTATTCAAGTCATATTTACACGATTCTAACCACATACCAGACATGGTTGTTGTCTGGTACAGGATTTAGCTGTGAACAGCACCCCAGCCCTTATAGAGATTATATTTTAGAAGGGGAAATAGACAAATCTGGACCATCGTGGCTTGTGATAAGTGCTGTAGAGAAAAACAGTTTCAGGGAGATTGAAATTGTTGGGTGAGAAAGAGTGGTATTTTAGAGTGCCAGCAGGTATTGGAGCAGAAACTTGAAGGAAATGGAGACTATTTCACAGGTGTATTTAATGGAAAATGCTCTAGCCAGATGAATAACATGTGCAAAGGCCGTGGGGCCAGGGCATGTTTTAAGAGTGTCTGGGGAGCCTGCGCTGTGGTGCAGCGAGTTAATGCCCTGGCCTAAAGCATTAGCATCCCATGTGGGCATCGGTTCGAGACCTAGCTGCTCTGCTTCCAATCCAGCTCTCTGCTATGGCCTGGGAAAGCAGTAGAAGATGGCCCAAGTCCTTGGGTTCCTGCACCCACATGGGAGACCTGGAGGAAGCTCATGGCTTCAGATCAGCACAGTTCTGGTCATTGTGGCCAATTGGGGAGTGAATCAGCAGATGGAAGACCTCTCTCTCTCTCTCTCTGTCTCTCTGTGCCTCTTCTCTCTCTGTGTAACTCTTTCAAGTAAAATAAATAAATCTTTAAAAAAAAGAAAAAATGGCTGCGAGGTCAGTGTGGCTAAAGGGAAGTTGAGAGGGGTAGGGAGAGAGGGATAGAGAGATTGTTGGGGTCAGATTATCACAGGCCTAGGAACCAGCATTGTTGATGCATTATGAAAGCACCCAACTGAGACAATTAATAGAATCTTAGAGATCTAGGGGTCATCACTGTGGCGTAGTGGGTAAAGTTGCTGCCTGCAGTACTAGCATCCCACATGGGCACTGGTTCAAGTCCCGGCTGCTCCACTTCCAATCCAGCACTCAGCTGTGGCCTGGGAAAGCAGAAGAAGATGGCCCAAGTCCTTGGGCCCCTGCACCCACATGGGAGACCTGGAAGAATCTCCTGGCTCTTGGCTTCGAATTGGCCCAGCTCCAGCCATTGTGGCCATTTGGGGAGTGAACCAGCAGATGGAAGAACTCTCTCTCTTCTTCCTCTCTGTAACTCTGACTTTCAAATAATTAATAAAATAAAATATATATTTAAAAAAAGAATCTTAGAATTCTAGACTAAGGTGAGCAACTTAGCTTGATGTTTAAGGTCATGTTATTTAGTTGTCCTTGCTGTCACAAAATAGATGTACAATACGTGCTTTTTGAATATAATGTCTTCTACTTTGGGGCATAAATGGGCAGTCAGAAAATTGAAAAAACTGTCTCCATATGGGGCAGCTAAGTTGTAGTCAGCTGGGTGAAACAATGGCCACACGTTTCTCCAGCTGACAAGTGGCACTGGTGGTGGCCGATCTTTTTCAAGCCAGGAGGCCAACAGAGGGAGAGCAGAATTACCTCAATGTTTTGGCTGAGTTTTTTGACGATGCTGGTGATGGTCTGGATGTGGCTTTCCAGCAACTTCCTGGCAAGCGATTCCTCCTTTTGGAAGCCGTGGGTGCCCTGCAGACAGGCAGAGATGTCCTCTTTGATGCGGAAGGCTTGCTCGAGGAGGAAAGCGATGGTGCGCTCCTGGCTGCTCAACCTGTCTTCCAGCTGGCTGCTCTGGGCGCTTGCAATGATGGGAAGAAAAGCACGCCCCCTGGTCGGGAAGAAGAAACATCACGGTTGTTACAAGGAACCAGGAACCAGACTCGCAGCCGCATGTCTGCTTCATTTTGTCCCCCATGACAGGGTGGTGGGACCACACACACTTGCGTGCATAGAACCTTGGTTTAGGTCTCACTACGAAGCAGATCTAAGTTGTCCCGTGATCTAGTATAATGCCTTTTTTTCCTATTTTCCAAGCAAGAACTGATCAACAGTAGGACATTGGTTGACAGTAGGAATGGGTCAGAGTGAGATGTTGGTCAACAGTAGGAATGGGTCAACAGTAGGACATTGGTCAACAGTAGGAACTGGACAACAGTAGAAATGGGTTAACAGTGGGACATTGGTCAATAGTAGGAATTGGACAACAGTAGAAATGGGTCAACAGTGGGACATTGGTCAAACAGTAGGAATTGGACAACAGTAGGAATAGGTCAATGGTAGGACATTGGTCAACAGTAGAAATGGGTCAACAATGGGACATTGGTCGCAGTAGGAATTGGACAATGGTAGGAAATTCTTAAGCCCAGTTGAGGGTGGTTGGGAGGTGATGAGGGGTTCATGCAGGAATATGCTAGAAGCCTCCTGAGATATATGTCTTCATATCCTCCTTACCCCCAATATAAACAATTCTATTTTAATCTAGAAAAAAAAATCTAGGCTCTTATGTCTGTAAAAACACAAAAGTGACTGTATTAGAGAGTTTCCCATAGCACGTATTTTGGAATAACAGTTGATAAGATAGGCCATTATATTTGATGGTCAAGTACATTTGGAAAACGTGGAACATTCTGTTCTTTTCTCAGAGATTTTCATTGTATGTTATCATATAAATGTCTGCCAGTACTATTCTGATTGTATAGGTGGGAAAACAGTTCATGGAGTAGTTAAATACAGAGCATCCAAGGCACACGTGCTAATGCACTTGCTCCAGGTGCAGGTGACTTGCAAAGCTTTGCCGTGCTCTTATTTCTGACCTCATGCCAGGTCTGACTGTTGTACCTGCTGGTGTGACACTTGTTCACTAGATCTATGGATCAGAGAGTTTGAAATTTCATGGTTGTCCTTGACTTATGAGCCGGTGGAAGGGACTATGGGCTTGCTTTTTTGCATATGAAGAACAGTCCCAAGGTCACAGAGCTGCTGATTTGGCACAGGCAGGATGATACCCACGTGTCCTGCCACCTCCCTGTGATGCCTTGTGTGAGGTGCCTCTGAGTATAGCAGAATGTTGTGTGATGACGACCACTAGAAGGAGAAGTCAGTCTTAAGCAGAGGAGGAGATCTGGCCTTTGTTAAAGCCTTGGAATAAAATGAGGAATAAGACAGACAAAGCTACCACCCTCTAGGAAATAGCTATATCTATATTTGTATGTAGCTGTAGCATACATCTTAAAAAATGACTGTCAGGTTTGCTGGTTCGTAAAAAGCCAAAGCCAAAGAATTCACCCCATTCCTCTTGCAGGAGTAGCAGTAACTGTTTGCTGGGAGCTATTATTTGCTTGGAAGCGAGAATGCCCTGGGGACAGCAGATTTGAGGGGAGAACCTGAACATGAGCATCTTCTGCAGGGCTATATTTAGCTGTGTGCCACAGAAACCCAGAGATGGTGACTTAAACAGGGAGGTTTATTTGGTTATGGAACAACAGGGCTAGAGGTGGATGGTGGGGTGGTGGTGAGCGGTGGGTGGTGGGGAGGGGGACTTGCTGCTGACCAAAGAAAGTTGTGAGCTCTCAGGCTCCTTTGGACTTCCTGGCTCACTCTCAGAGTATGACCTTGAACCTGAATCTCAAGGTTATTGTTCCACTTTGAAGTATTGTGCCCAGATCCCAGGTGGAAAAGACCCGAGGACTCAGCGTACCACGTGTCTCCCGGCTGAGTTTGTCACCGCCCCTCCAGGGTTAACTTGAGAAACAGCTCTCCTGAAAGTCTCCCCCTGCCACTCTGTGAGGGGACCTCCGGCTGAGGTTTTGCATCTTCCATGAGCCTCTGGAAGATTCCTCTAGGCTGCATTTCAAAGTTTTTTTTGCACCAAAATGTTTATGTAGATTCCATTTTTCCATGAACTTTTGGAAGTCCCCTCATATTTCATTAGTAGAAACTGTGCCATATGGTCACCTCTTCTCACTTAAAAGTTTATAAACATTTTAAAAATCTGGGCATGTGGCAGCCTTAAGCCAAATAAGGTCTTTTATTTGCATAGAAGTAGAGGAAATGTGCAGGTACTGGATTGGCTAACAGTGCTGTTTGTGCTGTTTGTCATGTACTTTTTCTCTCTTATCTCCCATTTTATACTAAGCCTTTCTGTCAAAGGAATTTGAGAGACAAGCCATTGGTTTCTTTCCTGTTGCTCACTGGCTGTCTTCCTATAAATGGACAATCAAGTTTCCTTGGGCAAAGCAGAGCTTGGTTAGAAATTGGCCACAAATAGCATTATCGGTACTCTAGTGCTGGATGGGTGCTCCAGAATCAGTGTGTGTGTGTGTGGATGACAAGGGTCTACCTGCCCATCGGAGGTCAACCTAGAGAAGAGAAGAGGGGCTCATGCTCTGCAGGTGAAGACAGTACAGCAACACGTGACTTCTGTTTCCTTTTCTAAAAGGGTGCCTGGGGGCCAGCAGTGGGTTAGCTGCCGCTTGCAACACCAACACCCCATATGAGCACCAGTTCCTTAGTTCCAGCTGCTTGGTTTCTGACCCCCATCCCTGCAGATATGCCTGGAACAGCAGTAAGTACATGGTGGGCTGGGTCCTTGGGCCTCTGCTACCCATGTGGGAGACCCGGATGGAGTTCCAGGCTTCAGTCTGTCCCAGCCCTGGCTGTTGTGGCCATTTGGGGAGTGAACCAGCATATAGAAGACCTTTTTCTCTTGGTTCTCTCGTTCTCTCTCTCTCTTTCAAATAAATAAATCTTTAAAATACTGTCACAAAGAAATGTAATGCAAGCCTTATAATTTAGAAATGTCTAGTAGCCATGTTGTTTTTAAAAAGATAGAATTCATTTTTATAGTTATCCCTAAAATGTCACTGTAGCATGTACTCAACATGAAGTTTATTAAAGGGCTACGTTACAGGTTTCATACCAAATATTTGCCATCACCATGTATTTAACACTGGTAACACCCCTTAATTTGGGCCAGCCACATTTTGCATACTTAGTATCCATATGTGGCCGCTGCCTGTTGTCTCGGACAGCACGGTTGGAACACAAGAGTAGGCAGAAGACATCAGTGAGCAGTGAAAGGTGTTGCTACTCGCCCTTCACCATTCATGTCCTTGAATAATTACAGCTTGTGTGTGTGTGTGTGTGTGTGTGTGTGTGAGTGTGAACACATCACGTAAGCCCGGCCTCGTGGCTGGTATGTTAAATGAGGCACCTGTTAAATCTTCATAATGGTGTTCTGAGGGACCATTACTCTGCCCCATTCTAAAGATGATGAAATTGGAGGCCTAGAGTAATAGAGCAGATAGTCCAAGGTCAGCGCATGAACAAGGCTGGGGCCAGTGCTCACGCCTACACAGTCCGACTCCAGGGCTCTGTCGTGTCGCCCTCAGAGACTGCGTGTCCCTCGCAGTGTAGCAAGCCAAGTTTGCCTGGTGTCGGATCCACACACATTGAATACCTGATCAGTTAGTGTTTGGGGGAAGCCGACAGGACAGCCTGAAGACAAAGACGAACAGAGGAGTTCGACGAACAGAAAGCAAAGTAAATTAGGAAAAAGAAAAAGGTGAGGGCTACTTAGTGTCAGGGCAAAGAATGCGCAGATGCTGACGGCATGGGGAGTATTAGGGTGTAGCTCCCTGGCTTTCGGAGAAACTTCTAAAAGGAGGAAGGTACTCCTGTTGTGCTTTGGTTGTCTGTAGCTTACCTCTCCCCGCCGTGATGATCCGGTTCCCTCAGTGTGCAAGCTCTCCTCTTCCCTGTCTCTCTCCCCTCCTCTCTCTGATTCTGGGTGAAGGCAGCTGCCAGGCGGAGCAGCCCCATGCACACCAACCATGTGAGTGACACGTGGTGGGAGCCAGTCTGCCAGGATGGCTGTAGCGGCAGCCACCACCCTCAATGGAACCCCATGAGCCCCCCTGAGCTGAAAGCACCCCCCTGGGAAGCCACCTCCGGTTCCTGATCCACAGAAGCTGGGCTACCTGCTTGCTGTTTATCCCACTGGGTTTTGGGAGACTTTGCTACATGTCAGTCGATAAGGAACACAGTCATCCAAGTAGAAACGAGGGGCAGGTGTTTGGCGCAGCAGTGGGCAGGCCACTCCGGGCACCTGCAGCCCACATTGGAGTGCTAGGTTGGGGTCCCAACTCTGCTTCCTGCTACTGCTCAGCAGGTGGTGGCTTGAGCACTTGGGTCCTCTCCCGCAGGGCAGCAGCTGACGGCTCAGGAAGTTGAGTCCCTACTATCCCCATAGGAGACTTGGCCTGAGTTTTAATCTCTTGGCTTTGGCCTGGCCCAACCCTGGCATTTGGGGCATGAACCAGAACATGGGAGATTTCTCACTGTCTCTTTGTGTGTGTATTTTCATCTCAGTGTGTATCTATGTTTCTGTTTCTCTGTCACTCTCTGTCTCTCTGCCTTTCACAAAATAAGTAGTGCTAATTAAAGCATTAATTAAATTATAAATTTAAATAATGATTTTATTAAATGATTTAGTAATAAATTAAATACATAGAGGTAATTAAATAAATCAATAGTTTTTTTTCAATGAGCAGTGCTTGAGACCCAGATGTGGTTCTAGACACGTGGGGAGGACAGACATGATGCCAAGAATTGAGACGTTCTAGGGGCTTTTGGAATAGACAGGAAATGGGTCTGGGAGGAGAGTCCAAGGTTCTGATGTAGACTTACTGGATGCTGATGACTTTCGCTAAGACTGAACGTTTTTTTAAAAAATGAGTTTAGGGGAAAGAAAATGAATTTGAGATATTTATAGGCACCCATAGGCCCCTTAGACACTCTGCAACCTGGCTAGACATGGAGACCTGGATG